TTCTCAGTTTCAGTCTTATACAAACTTATTTGGGAACAAATACCAGTATTTACTGAATATGGTAGCATTAACTTCTATCTTAGAATGAAGTGGATCTGACTGTTAATCGCTCACTTGAATATGACTATTCAACCAAGGGATATTTTGTTATGAAACTTTCCAAACAAACTAAATTATTAATCAGATAAGATGATGGAGATTTCATAAAGTGTCTGTCTGACTTAGAGACTTTCTGGCACATTTTCCACTGAAAATACAAAGGAGTCTATTGATAGAGACTTTTTAATTCCAGAGGAACAGTGTAGGCATTATCATCAAAATGAAAGCCTTTTGACTCTTGAGGGAACTATGAATGAAACTGAAAGAACAGCACAAAAAAGAAGCTTAAAATGAGCTGTACAGACTCCACTCTTTGAAAAATTCTTCACTCCATAAGCATAGTTCACATGACTACCTAAACAGGAAGATATAAAACTTCAAATGTTTCAGGACAGTTTCAAAAGATATTGGCTACAATTTGTGATAGCTGTGTCAAAGGTTTTTTTTTTAAATAAAAATATAATTATGTTTTCCAAATTAGCATAACATATGGTTATTTCTGCTTCCTACACTGAGATACACTAAATAAATGTTCAAGATGCATAAAAACAGAAAATTTAATCTAAGGATTAAAGCTGGGGAGTTCAGTGTAAATCTAAGGTTGGATCGCCCTCTGTTGGACTGAGACAATACTACCAGGAGAAATATAGAATAACCTGTAGTCCTCGACCTAATTTTGTAGGGTGCTCAGCCCAATTTTATCCAATGAAAGAAGCCCATTGAGACAAAATATAGGTAGGAAAGAGAGAGAAAAAAATCTCTTCCTTGCTAGCTTAAGACAAGGAATGTATGTCTTCTACGAGCAAGTTATTCATACATAATGTTTGGAATCTGTATCCATTATATCAGAATTCTAGAATTTTTACAAGGGTTTGTTGCTAACTGAAAAATAAGATAGCCACTCAGACAATAAAACTATTTCAACACTGAAACTATTGTACCTTTTTTTTTTTTTTTTGAGACAGAGGGAGAGATGAGAAGAAAAATCAACCTATTCTCATAATTTTTGCCGATCAACGTTCACTACTATAGATGCAGTGGTGAAATCCAAATTTTTTTATTACTGGTTTTGTGGGCGTGGTTTGGTGGGCGTGGTGTGGCATGGTGGGCATGGTGTGGCTTGGAGGGTATGGCTTGGTGGGCATGGCAGGGGAAGGATACTGCAAAATCCCCATTCCCTCCCCACTCCTGGGGGAAGAATATTGCAAAATCTCCATTCCCACCCCACTCTGGGGCCAGCTAGAGGTGGTATTTGCCGGTTCTCTGAACTACTCAAAATTTCCGCTACCGGTTCTCCAGAACCTGTCAGAACCTGCTGGATTTCACCCCTGTGTAGATGGCGACAATCATCTACAAAAGATCAGAAGGAGTTCCTAGGTTTATCCACAATGGGTCAAGGCCTGTTCTTCATTATTCCACAGTGCAGAAACATAACGATGGATTTCGGTTAAAGAAAGGCAGATTCCTATTGAACGTTTGAAAAAAGAACTTTGTGGCAGTAAAAGTAGGTTGATTATTCAGAAACATTGTGAGCCTCTTTTGCTGCACATATTCAGATGGAAGCAGGACATTTTGCTCCAAGTAGGGAACCAAATTCCATGGCTGTCAATCCTGAAATTGGCCGTATTATAGCCATTTTCTTTTTGGTAGTTTTCTCTAGGGAGGTTTCTCTTCTCACGGCTTCAGGGCTGACACAGCCTGGAATGAAGGGGCCAGGGAGGGGGGGTGTAGGGATAGCTGGGGTGTTGTAGCCTAAATAAAATTCTTTCCCCTGGGAATCAAGGACATTGGTGCAGGTATTTGAAAGGTGGAGACTGAGGTCACCCAGCAACTGGACTGTATGTTGATTGGACCATGTGACTGGAGACTCTGGAGGGGAAGTGACAAAGTTTTACTTTTAATTGGGTGTAAAACCGGTGGGAACTTAGAGCCAGTTTTCCACCAGGAATGTGCCAATTTGATATGTCCTAATAAAATGTTCTTTGAGGAATTTGCCTACCTTGGAATTCTTATTGAATGGGATGTATTACTTGGAACCTTGACAATGGCTTACAATGGACCCTTCCAAATTTTATTCTAAGGACTGCTTAGTCTGAGTCTAAAATAAAAAGAGAATACAGGAACAGAAATACCAGCACTATTTTACAGCTACCCAGCAATCACTTTCAGAAAACTCTATGTGAAACTGATGAATCCTATTCTATTTTTTGTGATGAACATACTGCTTTGCGGCAGGATCTAATCTGTATCAATCACTAGGACCAGAGGTTTAGTCTTCTGAGCTTTCGGACTCATGCTCACATGTAAGAGAGAAGTTCCCTGAGGATGGGCTCCAGCATGAGTCTGAAAGCTCAGAAGACTAAACCTGGGTGACCAACACAGATTAGATCCTGCAACATTACCTTGGGACACATATATTTGCCTGATACTCCTTTGTAATTTACTTTTTTATCCCTTCCAACTAGGGAAGAACAATAAAGAAAAAATGATCTCATCAAGGCAATCAATTAACACATATTTAGTATCTAAAACAAATATAAGAACTCCTTATTTTAAAAAAAAGCAAAGGACAATATAAATCAATTCTTGATCACCTCACCAAGGAATTTGACATGATCAATAGAGCTGGCCTCTGCAAGACCAAAGTCCTAGTCAACTGCATTGTGTACTTTCACACTCAGGACAAATCAGGGTTGAAATGCTCCCAGTTTGGACTGGATCGCCTGATCCGGTAGCAATGGCGCTGAGTGGTTTGGCGAACCGATAGCAAAAATCCCTGCCCCCCCTCCCCACATGCCCAGCTGAGCTGCGCGATCATCAGAGGCTTTTTTTTTTTTTACTTTTAAAAGCATTTTTTGTACAACCTCTTCGGCTGAAGAGGTTGTAGGAAAAAATGCTTTTAAAAGCCTCTGACAATTCCAGCTGAGTTGCCTTATCGTCAGAGGCTTTTAAAAGCATTTTTTTCTGCAACCTCTTAAGGGTGTAGAAAAAATGCTTTTAAAAATAAAAAAAAATAAGTTGGCCACGCCCAGCCAGTCACATTACCTCCCCACCAAGCCACGCCCACAGAACCGGTAGTAACAAATTTCACATTTCACCACTGGGTCAAATGCCTTTCCAAGTAAAGGATGGATTTAAACTGTATTATACCATTTAAACAGTTTTTATGGACATTTTTTTTCTTGAAGGCCAGAATTTGTCCCTGTGTTCCAGATAAATATTATTGACGTGGCAGAAGAGATGTAATTATATGCCAGATCCTATGGCAAAAGTACACAGGTACACATCTGAAATGGTATCTGTATATTTTTCTCGAGGCCAACTGACTTATAATAGCTTGACCCAAGATCAAAGTTGATTAATAAGATCCTTGACTCATATCTTGCACTTTCTTTTTCCTTAAGCAAATAGTTTCATGACCGTTATGAAGACAACGGAAGTGGATAGGGGAAAGTATTTTAGTTCCCTCTAGTGTGCTACTTCCCCCATTTAAATCACAGCTCTCTCCAAGTCTGAAGTCAGAAGAAAAGATACAGATAGCCAAAAAATACTTTTCTGCATATCTAAAGTCTTAATTCCCCTCTGAATGGTATTCAGGCTAATTTTCTGTCTTACAATTCTCATTATGCCCTTAGCCAATTGTTTTTTATTCCTGTTGCCAATTTAAATAAATAAATAAAAAAGAGATTGAAAGGTTCAGTTATCAGAATGAACAAATTCGTCCAAGCCAGCCTTTCATGCATCTTGATTTTAATGGGTTGGCTGCACTGGATTCAGAAAGGCAAAAATTCATAAATTCATTATGTTCCGGAATTTTTTTTTTTCATATAATACCTGTACCATATAAGAGGAAGAAGGGAGGAGGAAGAGGAGGAAGAGGACGTTAAAGAAAGGTCCTCCCTCCTTAAACTTTCAACTGTTTACCTGGCATGAAAGTGACTCTCCTTATTGTTCACATACATTCCCGAGTACCAATTACTCACTATCGTTTTTTCATAAAAGGGAAAGGGAGAGAGAGAGAGAGATGGGTATCGCTAGACTCAATCCTGGAGGAATTGGTGCAGAATACAGTGATTGCTTTGTTAGGATGGACAAAGCATTTCCTTTCCTAAGGTTGTCCCTTGATCTCTGCCAGGGTCCTCTAAAATACTCTTTTAAAATCTTTTAAAGGCTGCAATCCAACAGGTGGAACACGTATTATTTCTGTTGTAAGCCGCCCAGAGTTGGGCGGCATAGAAATATGATAAATTAAATTAAATTAAATTAAATTAAATTAAATTAAATTAAATTAAAATTAAATTAAATTAAATTAAATTAAATTAAAAATTAAATTAAATTAAATTAAATTAAATTAAATTAAATTAAATTAAAAATTCAATTCAATTCCAGCGGCAACTCTAGGTCTTGGCTGCCTGAAACCACAGTAACTGTTAAAGAGACCCACGAGAAAAAGTAGCAAACCGCCCTTGGTTATTTTGCCCTCCTTTCTCCTGTGGTTCACACCAGGCAGGGTTGTGTGTTGGTGTCGCTCTTCTAGCCACAGAGACACGGGAGGTGTCGCGGCGGAGGGGAAAGTCAGGCGGACGAGTCCCCGGAGAAGAACAACGGAAAGTTACCGTGGCAAAGGAAAGTTCTCTTAAGCTCGTCCTCTAGCCTCCGTTACCCACGAAGGCAGGCGGCTCGTTTCCAGCTGTTCACACTGGCCTGGGAGAAGCAGAGGCGGCGCTGCGGCCATGGGAGGCATTAGCAGAGCGTCCGGGAAGGCAGCGGGGTCGCCAGGGTAGGAAGCGATTTCGTTTCCCACGCACATCTGGCGTGGCTCAGGAGAGGGGGAAGCGAGGCAAGGGCGCGACTGCTGCCAACCTGGGTTCCCTTCACCCCGGGAAATCCCAAATCCTCACCTGGGTTGGAATCAGCCCCGTCCTGCCCGAGCTGGGGCGCGCTGGAACTTCTTTCCGGCTCCGCAGATGTTGTGCAGCTGGCGCGCTCCAGCCATCCCAGGCTCGGCCGCTGCCTCTTCCCCGCCCCTGGACAACCACTCGCATCCGCTGGAGCCGACGGGAAGGCCCAGGGCGGCAGCCAAAGGCTGGGTGGAGGCCCCGCCATCCAATCTGCCTCCGCCGAGGCTGGAGAGGAAGAGCCCTTTCTGCTCGCAGCCGCTCCTCCCGAGCTTGCCGCTTTTTCTTGCTCTCGCCCCGCGTCCCCGGGGTCTCGAAGGGTTTGAGTAACTGCGCGGTTAGTAAGTCTCTTTTTGCTGGAGGAGGCTGCTCCTGTTGAGTTTCTGGCTGCCCTGGGATTGGGGATTCATTCCGGTCCTCAGCATCACAAATTAATATTTGGGACATCATCACACCTGAAGCCAGGCAGGAATTCCTCCTAGATTTAATTCAAGGTTCTGGAATCATCTCTCAACCTGTTTTCCAAGGCTTGGACTAGACTCTGAGCATGTAAAAAAAAAGGGATACTTTTCATTACATGGCCAGAGTCTGTGACTCCTTCACCACCATGTTATTCGATTGAAATTACTATTCTGAGAAAGGTGGAGGAATTTAGTTTTTTGTCACAATGTACAACTAAAAGATTCTTCATACCTACCTTGGACTCTGTTGGCATCTCCTCAAAGGAAGTAGACATCATAGGCTGGAAAAACCCTGATCTAAATATTTCTGAGAAAAGCAGAAATGGGTGTGACTGTGAAGTTTGTTACGGGATTTTGAGGGAACTAGAGATTCTCTAAGAAGTGTTCAGCCTTTGTTTAGCGATACAAAATATTCTAAAATACTCCACAAACATTCTGTCAGTAGTTATGTAAGGACTGCCGTTACATGAACATAGTTACGCATTCTCTATTTCTGCCAAGTTTTCTGGGGACTATTTAGGTCTAGAGTCTTGCCTTTAGTATTATTATATCCGTATTGTGAATATAAGGACTTGTTGAGGCAGTTGCGGGAACAAAAAAATATTGTAGACAATATTGAAATCTTGGTTGGTTAGCTTGCAGTTGGAAATCAACAACCAAAAGGGCAGCTACTTGGTGTTCACATGATGCATAACCATAAAGGAACTGACAATATGTTCTGACACGCACACTTATGGTTAGCATGGCATGCAGAAACATCATCTCAAACTAATGTGAGACAGTGCTTGGATCCTAAAGCCCTCTTGGTGAGAGCTTCTTAACAGTTCAGTTCCATTATCAAGATACATATTCTCTGATGTCTCTTTCTTGACTGCAGTCTTGGAATGAATAGAATAGAATAGAATAGAATAGAATAGAATAGAATAGAATAGAATAGAATAGAATAGAATAGAATAGAATAGAATAGAATAGAATAGAATAGAATTCTTTATTGGCCAAGTGTGATTGGACACACAAGGAATTTGTCTTGGTGCATACGCTCTCAGTGTACATAAAAGAAAAGATACATTCATCAAGAATCATAAGGTACAACACTTAATGATAGTCATAGGGAAACAGTCAATATAAATCTTAAGGATACCAGCAACTTAGCAAATTAGAGGATATTTTGAAACAAAGTTGGTATGCAGAAAGCATCAAAAGGGGAAGAAATTAGAAGGAGGGAGGAATCAATGGAGCTGAACAGAAGAAGGGTTTCTGGGGATCACATGTTTCAGAAGTTCCACCAATGAAAAAGCTTAGGCAAGTAATACCAGTTTTAGTAACTAAAAACCTATATAGCCAATCACCAATCCTCTGGTGATTCTACTTCCAGATGGCTGGTTTCCTGTTGCAGGAAACCCTGGATTTAGAGTAGAATTGCTGAGACGGGCAAGGCTCTTCCTCATCTTCCTCAGCAATACAGCTCAAGCTTGCTGACTTCCCGTTGCCATTAGCAGCCGGAAACCGCCAGTCTGTTCTCCACTGATCAGATGCTCAAGTTGGATCAACAGCCTGCTGAGGAACAGACCTGTAGATGCCCATTGCAAATGCTAGCTAGAAACGAACGGGTGCCTTAATTCTGCAAACCACAGCAGAGGCTGGAAGTATTTTATTCTATTGTGGCCAATAACTGGTTTCTTACCAGGACATTGTTTTCTAATGACTGGGTAAGATTGCTGTAATGATCTCACCTTTATATATCAGTAGTGTTCATTTGCAATTATTAATTGCTAACAATAGATTGTCTGCAGGAGGAAGGCAAAATGAAGAAGAAATGAAAAGCTCGCTGTCATGCAAGCTAAGTTCACACATCATACAAAGCCATGATTTGTTAAGCACATTGTCATTGTCTGGGGTCACACAGGCTTCAGATTCTATTATGGCTTACTACAAAATCATAGACTGTACTCTCTAATTGAAGATTTCCCACCCACGGTTATGTAGCATATAACATGCTGAGACATTATTAGCCATATTATATATAATGCTTCAGTGCATCAATCTTAGATCAGAAGGGGCTTAGATCTGGTCAAAGATACTGTACCAACTTCCCAACAAATATGCTGAAAGATCTAGGGTTACAAATGGTACATTAGTAGTGGGGCGCAAAATAAGTTGTAGCAGCTGAAGCAACCAAGCCTGTGCAGTATTGTAAATCTTTTTGAACTTCTGATGCTTCCGGAAATAGTCCCCTTTTCCTCCCTGGATGTACTCCATCAAAATACTAATATATCTCATGCATCAAAATAATGATGTATCAGAAAGCTTAAATTTCTTGTATGAAATATACAATATATTTGGGCATATTTGACTGAAATGTGTAGCTTTAATAGCTTATGGATATTTTCTATGGTACAGAAATGTCATGAATAAATAATAAATTTTGTAGCTCTGTAGGCAGGGCTTTATAGTTGCATTGCATAAATGAGAGGGAAGTGGTAGCTTGAAGGAATTGGCCTTGGCAATTAGTCTTCAGCATTAAGTAGAAAACTCCATTATTTACCATAAATAAGGTAATAACATTGTCCCCATTTAGCAATTATCATTGGGATTGCAATTCAGTCATTAAGCAAAGTGGTCACTAAATGGAACCACAACTGTATTTTTGATCTTTCTTCTGCTTTCCTTTGCTTTACAGATCTATAAAGGTTGTGAATGTAAGGATTGGTCACAGTTACTTTTTCATCACCATTGTAACTGCAAACTGTTGGTAAACAAGGCAATCATTAAACAACAACTACCTGTAATTTGTTTGGGACTGTTGAACAATAATTGATTGTTTAATTGATTATTGGAGTTGGCACATTTACTGGAATCTTTCAAAAACATAAAATAAAATCCCAGGCAGGCTGAAATAAGAATAGTTTGAAGTGATAAACAATACTGTCCACAAGATGTCAGTATTGGACTGTATTAGGAACCCTCACAGTACCTTTAAAGCATGATACTGTGATTTCTGTCTGCAAAAAAGCTGCAGAATTTTAAAAGCAAGAACGGTCATTTTTTTTTTTTTTTTACATAAAAAAATTTCAGAGATTTGTTGATCTCTGGAAGTTGCCATGATCCATATAGGAAATAGCCTACAGAAAGCAAGTATGATTTATCCATGTTTGGAGCTATCTCCTAGGTTCCACTAGTAAAATGTAGAAATAGTGGCTGGAGTGGGTCTGGAAATATTTTCTAGGAATAATTTGGAAACACTTGTCATTTCTCAGATTTTGTTTTTCATCTTCTGTTTATAGACATGAAATTCCAGATAACCTGTATAACTTTCAGAAAGAACCCCTAAATTTCAGTAGTTGCTGTACAAGAGACATGTTGCTTGGGTTTTAGCTGATTATAGTTGCACTGATTATAAAGAATCTAGTGCTTCATTCAACTCACTACTTCTAAAATAAAAATGTTCTTGTAGCTCAAAGCAACTGGTTTCCTTAAAAGGAAACAGCTCCCAATAATATAGAATTTTATAGTGCAAAGGAACATCTGTTTAAACAATGCTTGGATTTTGGCCGAAAACCAAGCCAATATGATCAAGCCCAGGTTTAAGCAAGCTAAGAAATAGGCATTTTGCCACTTATTGTTTTGGGATTTCAGTATCATTTTTCCAAATTCTCAGTCATGTAAATTTGAAAGGCATTTTAAATTTCTAGAACATATATATTTCTAGGGAGGGCCAAATAAATGAGACTGTGGTGATCAGGACTGGATCTTACTTCTCTTTCATTATTTTTGTTTAATGTAGCTGGAAAGCTCTTGTGCTATTTTTCCTTTGCAAATCATCCTTTTAAAAAGTATTATGGGCTCCATTTAGACCATTAATTGCAGCCAACCAGTTTAAAGACACAAATTCCACACTGACTGGCATGTAAGTGTGAAATAAAATCTAGCAAATTGTCACTCTATAAATAAGATGGGCAGTCTCGAAATTAGATACATGAAATAAAATATAAAATCAATACATTTAGTAAAAACATCTGTTTTTACTCTTTTCTGGGTGTGCTCTTCCAAGGATCCTAATTGTAAGATTGCTGTTGAGCTTGATCAAAGGCTGATGAAAGCAGAATCCATGTTCATCTATGACTAGGTAGTGGGTAAGTGAACAGATCCGGTGGAAGTTGGCAAACGGGCCATTTTCAGCCTCTGGAGGGCCTCCGGGGGGGGAGGCCATTTTTGCCCTCCCCAGACTCCTAGAAAGGCTCTGGAGGATGGGGAGAGCAAAAAATGGGCCTACTGTGCCATCGCGTGCCAGGAGTCGGGGTGGTGGTCGCGCACGCATGCATGGGGCAGGACGCATAGAATTATGGGTTTGGGCGCGCACGTGCGTGACCACACACACACACACCGTTCCTGGCACGTGATGGGAAAAAGGTTAGCCATCACTGTTCTAGGGTGTTAGCTATTCCTCCCAGCTTAGTATCATCTGCAAATTTGGTGAGTTCCCCTTCTATTCCCTCATCTAAGTCGTTTATGAAGATATTGAAGAGTACTGGGCCTAAGACAGAACCTTGTGGCACCCTACTGCTTATTTCTCTCCATGTAGACTTAGACCCATTAAGGACTACTCGCTGAGTACTGTTTGTCAACCAGTTGCGAATCCATCTTTAACCGGTAAAAGTTAAAATTTGATTGTTTTTGTAAACTTGACAGGCTTGTTATAGAAATGGCTTGTACATACTGTTGTGTAAAAGCAAAAAGTTGTGGTTGTAATGTTACCTTCAACTGTGCCAAAGAAAATCGGAAGTTGGTGCCTTTTTCTTTTTCTTCTGCTGTTACACTATACTCCTTTTCCCTTCCTCTCTTACTTTTTCATGTTTTTTTCTTTGTATTTTATACTTCAATAAACTAATAGTTAAGTTGGGGGGGGGAGAATAAAAAAGAAATCTTGTATGCCTCTTTATGGGATTTATAAAGTAGGTTGGTGAAAGTACTGAAGACTTCTTTTAAATACCAAAGAGTAATGAAAGATGAAATCTTGCAATGCCATTGGAATGGCTTAAATGTCAAGATCATGCAAAGAGGAATAAGAAGTTGGACTAATTGACCAAGGATAAAACATTTGTTTGTCATTCATAGTAACTCCTAAGGAACTTTTTGCTGAATTAGGACCGAAAAACTGATTTTTGGATTGTGTATTGATAAAAAGCTATAGAGAGGGGTTTTTATTATTTGTAACTTCAAAAAAGGGTGAAAAGGTACTGTTATGGTTGGTGTGGAAGTTTGAAGCCCCGTATTTTTACTTTTGTTATCTTTTTTCTGGTATCTTTTTCCTACATCTTCTGCATTTTTATTGTTCTATTTTCTTCTTGTTTAGTTTGACTTAGCTTTTATATGTTTATTAAGAACTTCAAAAAATATTTTTAAAGACCTACTTTCTTTCAACTATTATTTTTATCTCAGATGCAGGCATATGTCACAGGTGTATTTCTAGGAAAGCTTGATGCTTTTCCATAGCTATTACTAATAGTGATCAACTTGTATTATGGAAACTCCTGAAAAGATTGAATGGAGAGGACCAAGAACATTTTACAACTATGCAGGCAATAATCAAACATAAGTGATATATATGGAACAAATTTTTCAGATAATCCTATATTCTTCAAAAGGCATCTGGACTTTTGTTTTTCCTGGAAGATGTTTCATTTTTCATCCAAGAAGCTTCTTCAGTTCTTCAGTCAGAACTGAAGCAGCTTCTAGGATGAGAAACAAATATTCAAGGAAAAACAAAATCCAATTGCCTTTTGAAAAACAAAAGGTTCAACCATGACCTGGATGACTGAGAATCTCCATAGACAGGTATAGACATATAATTGTCTTTCTTTTTCCAAAGACCACATCGTTCCATAAAGAATGTTTGCTCATCACTTCAGATAACAATTTGAATTTCCCAATTTTTACATAGGTTTTAGACTATCAATCTCAATCTGATGGCTCCTACACAATACATTGCAGTACCTATCAATCCGGCATGTTTTTAGCTATGTTAGCTGTGACTGGTCAGTTTTTAATGCAACACATCTAGAGAACATCATATTCAGGAAAGCAATGGTTAATTATGCCTAGACAACTAACTACTGCCTAGGTAAATGTATTTCAGATAACCTAATACTTGAGTAGAACAACCTTTTGAGTCAGCAAGCAATTTGGAAGTTTGAGTACGGTAGATGTATCAAAACACAAAACACAAAACAAATTGACAAAGCGATTGATCATTATACCGTTTAGACCCCAAAACAGAATTTTTCTCCACAGCACCCTATTGGTCTTTTTTCTGATAAATGGCAGATTTCAAAACAAAGCACCTGACAACAGCTACCCTCATTTTCATTTCTGATATTGCTTATGGGATCTGTAAAGATACTAAGTTCTGACATTTTGTTTGCAATGTGTTACTGCCACCATCCCTTTGGGGATGGGGTAAAACTTCAGCAGGGAATCTTGTAAGTGCTAAAGAAGGAACCATGGATGCCTCTGACCCATTAAAAATCAAACAAAAGTTTTTCTTTTGATCTCTCCAAATAATGTATTGCAAACTCAATAAGCAATGAACTGCAAATACCTCTTTCATCTTGAAAGCAAGCTGATCCAAAATTATGAGCATTTAGAGCAATATTACAATTAGAAATCTTAATTTTTGTGCAAAAAAAAATTAATTACATACAAGTTTACTATGTGGCATACTGAAAAGTGTCACGGAAGAAATGGTTTCCTTTCATTAAAGTATGATAAGAAAAAAATATCTTGTCAGAAAAAAAAATGCCAACTAATTAATACTTTTACAAGATGCCTTTATTATATAAAAATGCAGAAACATCGTTAAGCCTTATAATGGGAGGAAAAGACTGCTTTCTAAATTTTTATCATATGAGAAATCTGGTGATTCTTAAAAAGGTGGCAAAATACTGCTGTACTATATCATGTATCTGAAAATAGACCATGCTAAATATCAGCAATATAAAAACATGGAAGAACTGTGGTAGGAAATTCAATGTGTTTGTGTATAGTAGAGAGCCTGGATCCTCACCTACTTTTATGTTTACATTTCCCACAGAACACAATGACTTGGACCCTGAATTCTTACATTCGTACAAGTAATTTCTACCAACCAGGCCTTTTATAATTTATTCCACACCATGCTCAAGAGTTCCCTGTTCTCAGGAACAGATTTACAAAAGATACAGGGCTACGCACAGAAAAGGGAAGCAGGAAAGCCTGTTCTATAAATTTAATTCTATTCTGTTCACAGAAAGGAAGTTAAAGTCTAAGCTGGAGTGGCTAATCGAAAATCTGAAGCAAGTGATTAACTAAATACACAAAACAATATCATAATCCTTTGAAAAACATACATAGGACAGATACATAATTTACAAATTCTGTCAACTTCAGCTTTAAACCATATTTCAAATATTTTTTCTTATTTATTTTCTCGAGCATTATCTTCCAAATCCTTCCACAGGGTATACTTTAACTGAGTATACCCACTGATTCTATTTATGCTAAAAGTCTTTACAAGATATCTGCTTTTGCTTGGCTTAATTTGCAAGGTGTTAGTATTAACTTACCTATTAAAAGTCAACATTAAGATACATAAAAAGATATACTATGAAAGTATCCAAAGAATAGTATAAGCTAAACTTGTTAGCTTTTCCTAGATTCTTTCCCATTCAATTAACTTTCTCTTCAGTCATTTAAAAACAAACATGTAAACATCAGAACATTCTGAACAGTCAAAGATTTTAACCACTTAAATAATAGCAACAATGAAACAAAGCAAATTGTCATCATATTGCATGTATATTATGGACTATGGTCCTTCACTGGTACCTGGTTTAAGGTAACCTGCAGTTTGCCCACAATACTAAAGTAGAGAATATAAGAAGTGGTCCCTGTATAAAATCAACATTTTCACTGAGCGATAAGCTTGGGGGGGGGGGCATGTTAAATCATTACACAATAACTGTTTTAGAAAACAACATATTCTACTTTAGCTATTCATAAAACATGAATTATGGCTAAGATTTCTGATAAGCAAATCCAGGGCTTGGCTTTGCTCTGATTCTGTAGTTCTTTATCTTGTGTGTTGTGAGGTTCCCAGTATGCTTAAGAAAGTCCATCCTCTTGGTCAATGATTTCTGTTTTACTGGAGAACACATCAGCTAGCATATGCTTTGGTATCTCAGAACCCCTGACTTTCAGTGTGTAACAGGCATTCTCCACTTTAGCTAAGCTCTGTTTCAAAGTATAGAGCTTCTTAGAAACTTCATACGGTCCAGTGTTACCAATGTAAGAAAAGCCATCATAAATCTGACACAGGAACTGACTCAGCTCAAATGGAGTATCTATATCACCATTGCCAACACTATTAATACACATCCGCATCAATTCTCCAGTTAGATCAGCCACTCCCAGAAGATAATCCACAGGTGTCACTTTTATGTTCCAGGTATTGTTTTCCTTATTAGGAGAATCTGAAGATGGCTAGTAATACAACAGAATACAAAACAGTTTATCACAGAGAGAAAGTTCAATTTGTAAAACAGTTCAGGAAATTAACAAAAACAATTTTAGAAAGAAGGTGGGCTTGCTTTGGAACTTTTTAATGGATGATTTCCCTTCTGGAAGACTTGTAATTTTCATCTCTTTTACATTGGTCCCAAGTGAACTCTATTTTGGGTGGCATAATATTAATAGCAAATTAATATCTTTTTACATAGTAAATTTCCTTTGCCATCAACAATTACATGGCGTGAAAAATCATCTCCACACCAGGTAAGTCTTACTTTATGGCTAGCCAAGCAGTAAGAAATAGGAGTTCAGCTAGGAAAGAATTATTGCAGTAATTTTTATAGAAACTTCATATTCATTAACTCTTCAGTTGGCAAGATGCCAGTTTCTAAATAAGAAAAGCTGTGTGTGTGTATGTGTGTGTGTTTGTGTATCTTGTATTTCTACTTTGCACTATTTCTATTTTGAAAACAATATTTTGCCACCATTATATATCATCATCACTGTGTAATAAACTAATATATATTGCTGTTTGCTTTCACAGTTTAATGAACTGAACTAAAAAAATAATTCCTTAATCAACAAAGACCCATAAAATTTATAAAGATCCTCAAGATGCACTCTTTATCCAAGGATCAACTGAGGATGAGATTCCCATATCTCAAGAAACTGATCACTCTGGCAGAAACTTAGGTACATGGAAGTTCAACAATTTGTCAATTTCACGGAAGCAGTTTACATGAGCCAATAGAGGAAGAGGCTAAAGAAGAATGAAAATTCTGGAAGTTGAAGTCCCCACAACTTAAAGGCCAAGGTTGAGAAACATTGAAATAGATATTTGCAGTTTTTAAGCAGCAAGATCTGATTGACTAGAAATCTCAAATGTGAAGGGCTAAAAAACCCTTTAGAACAGAAATGAGAAGCTAAGAACTCCTTCTGCCAAGACCTACAAGTAATGGAAGAATGGTACTCATTTTAAACAGAGGAAAGGACAAGCAGCTACTGGCTAGCCTAGCACTCCATGGCTGCTGCTTAGTGGAAAGCCACAAGCTATGGGAAGCTAGAGAGTCCATATAAGGGCTGATGAGGAAAGCCAGAGTACAATGGGATGGCAGACAAGAATTAAAGCTTCCTGTAATTTTGGAGTCCAGATATAGTATCCCTAGTATAGCCTTATAAGCTTTTTTAAAAGCCAATTTTGTAAATGGAAAAATAATTCCAACCTTCAAATGGAAAAAAAAAAAGAATTAAATTGAGAAAAAGAAATTCTTGCAGATCAGGCTTCCAATACTACAGACATTCCCCTAAAGAAACTTTTTCTTCATTCTATATGTCACTGGACAACAATATCAGCTGCACACTCCTAATATATTCCCAATGCTGCTATTCTTCTATTCCTCAGTCGTATTTTAAAGGAAAACAGCCCAAGGTTATGCTAAGAGTAATAGTGACAAAATAAAAAGATGTTTTTGATAACAGAAATGCAAACTTCCGTTTTTCCCTGATCCCAAATGAAAAAAGTGAGGATTTTCAAACCACCTCTGAAAAAGGGAGACAAAAGAAGACGACTTGCAGGAAGTGAGAACACAAGGAGACTCATGATCATATCATTGGCGTATTGTCCACCCTCTATATCAATTCTTTATAATATACATTTAGAAATGATAGTACCTTCCTTTCTTCTTCTTTATTATCTTCTGTAAATATCAGTTGTTTATTGATGTCCTCTAAGCTAATTAATGACCGGGTTTTGATAAAATACTGAAATGAAACAGCTTCCACATACTCTTGAAGACCTAGTTGACATGGAAATATGTAAAATATATTATCCTGTAGGAATTCACAGTAAAAGAGTTTAAGTGATATTTTAGGGATGTCAGCTTTTAATCACTTTTTGACTGATGCAGACTTTTTTAGGTTATGCATTGGAGATTCTTTTTAGATTATGCATATGACAATTTTAGTTGCAATGATTAGTATTTTAAAGCCTGTACTGCAGTGATTCTTGGAAAAGCATACTATCCAAATGTTTGTTTCTCTCTATCCAAGCTAATATAGTAAAGTATCTTGGAAATAAAATCAACATTACTGAAAGATTCTCAACCATAGAGATCATGAGATTAAGGGGAGAATTAATCTATGGAAAAATGCTCAACATAAATTTTTGGTATTATTGATATTTTCAGTTCTTGAAAAAAAATGCTGGTCTTCAATTCTTAGCTTAGAAACTTAAAAAACAATTTAACAAAATTCAGTTTATTCAGTCTGTTTTTATAAATACACATTTAATTATCTGAAACTTTATATTATGTAGATAGATGCTCATTGATAGTTGCCCTTGCATTTTTCTAAAGATATAATCTATACATAAGACACAATTTAAAATGTGAGGGATTCATTGGATAATAAGTAATGCTATATGTCATGACTGCATTGAATTAAAAATAGAAAAACAGGATGTGTTTGTTTCAAACATTTATGTATCCACCAAAATCAAACAATGTGACTCGGTCAGTATACGATAAAAATAAATAGGAGGACATGGGGCTCTATTCAATTAGACCCCAATTCCTGAGGGAAACACTTTTTAAGGGCCAGCAAGGTTGGGGCCAATTATATATTGTGTGGGAGGAGGGGAATGTTTCAGAGCCTAAGAGCAGCCACTGAAAAGGCATGCTTCCTAGGTCCCATAAGACATCAATGTTTAAATGACAAATGAAGGCTAATACTTTGAGAGCAAGTCCTATGCCTTGCATAACGTTAAAGGTAGTAACCAGCACCCTGTATTACATACGCTTACTGGAAACCAGTGCAGCTCATGGGTAGTGATGTTGCATGAACATTACAAGTCGTTCCCGTAATTAAAAGAAAAATAGTTGATCCATATTCTACGCACATTAGTCCCTAGATTACAATGAAATTTATTTTAACTATCTTTCTTACAATAAATGTTTGACATTAAATACGTGCCTTTCAGAAGTCCTCCACAAAAAGCAGCTTGGAATAACATTTAAAATGACCCAAGACCTTGACAAAAGGTGGTTTTGCTAAGCAGGTAAAAGGATGTTTTAAATACATTGTAGTTTTAATGGAAGGACATCCGTTACTTTCACAAATAATCCCCAAGGTGGAAAAAAAATCCCTATCCCACTTCACTATTTCATCCAACAACATCTTCCTGCTTTTAGTTTTGGGTTGTTTCCAAGAAAAAAAATTACTTAGGAATCTCACTGCTGGAAAGTGAGTAGTTTATAAGGCAGCTTTTGTACAGTTCCTTAGCAATGAGGATTTAGAATGGAGATACCTTTAAGATATATTGAATCAGTATGTGTTCATTTTATACTATCCAACTTCCCCCCCATCTCTCTTTTAAAATATAAGATTAACATATAAACCAATAGGGAAAACATGAAGAATACGATTCTAGAATTCTTTCCAATGCCGCTAGAAAAGTCAGGGTAGGAAGCATTTATATTTTGTTCTGCTTACATCTTTGTGTTTGGTATGTGTGCACTGGAAAACAGAATAAGGTCTTCTGATCATATGACTAAGGGGAGGAGAATTTAGAGTGGAGCAGCTGGCAACAATCCAATCTGCTGCCCAATTGTGTCTCTTGCTCTGTAAGCCCTAGCTAGATTCAGCTCCTTTTTATAATACTCAATCTTTCTTCTACCAGCTTCCCCTGCCCCTCAAAAGACTTTGATTCTGTTTTGTTTAGTTTTCAGGGAGTTCTCCTAAGGATGGAATCAGAAGTAGCCTTGATCCAGATTACACAATTTCCAATATTATGCTGGATTGAGAAAGAACAGGGCAAGGAAAGCAGACTGGATTCCCCCACCCCAGCCCATTATAGTAGCTTTGCTCGGGGTCATGTGACCAGGAGAGTGAGTGTTTCTTAATGTAAGCAACTTGTATCCTGATTTGTTTTGTTTTGTTAAAAAGACCCAGATTCACCTGCCATGTTTGTCACAATCACCACAAAATCTTTAAAAGATAATTTTTCTATTTATATAATTTCTTCTCTATTCTCTGATCTTAATCCAACTCTCCCTATAAATAGTATACCCTTCCATAAACTTTATTATTATTACTAATTAAATTTGTATACCGCCCTACTCCCGAAGGACTCAGGGCGGTGAACAGCCATAAAATAAAACATATAGATACAAAATTTAAAATAGAGATAAAACAAATTAAATAAATTTGGCTGAACCATTTTAAAACCCCAATAATTTAAAACCAAATTTAAAATTCCCATTTAAAAAGAGGAAAATTAACTTCTTCATGATGTAACAATGTTTACTTTCAGAAGCCATTCATCTTTTTCTCTTCTATCATAATATATCCTTGCCTAAATCTCTATTTCTTCAGCTCCACAAGACTTTTCAAAGGTCTTCTGCTCTTTCTCCTTTTCTAATCATGCGAGTTGCTTATTAAAACATCTGTGCGACTCCTTTTCATGAAACCTTGATAAAATCCCATTTTTATGTTCTTCTCTAATTCAAACAGACAAAGCAATGTCCTGCTCAATTATATTGGCAATTTCCCTCTATTGTTCTCCCTGTATCAACTTTTAGACTATGTTCTTCTTATAGTTCGTAGTGCATAATAATAGTGTTTGATGAATTATGGAAGACTTATGTAAGGCTATATAGGTAAAATCATATGCATACTTACTACAAAACAGAGTTTCTATTGATCTTGGTAGGATTTACTTCCAACTAAAGAAGCATAGAATATCCAAAAACAAAATTCAACTCTAAATAATAATCTTCACACTTTATTCACAAATGTTTCATGATAGAGGATATTTATATTAAGGAAGAGTCTTATTTTAATGTAAGGCACTAAATTGAAGTATATGGGAATTCCCTTTATTAAATTAAATTAAATTTTCAACCAGTGTAATACGATTAGAATAACAAAAGCAACTACTGTGCAAAATAAGTCTTGCATTTGCCTACCGCTATTTCAGTTTTAAAGCCAAATTGTTCACATATTCCAAAGGATATGTATCCCTTACATAGGAGGAAAGAGAGATTTTTTTTATTACAAACATACTTCAAAAGTAACCACAAAAAGATAACAATAACAATGTGCAAAAGTTGGTCTGCCTTTGTTTTTTAACTAGTTATTTCAGTGTATCTTTGTTTGCTTGTTTAATTATCCCTTGGGACAATCTGTACTTTAAGAAATGTGTAGAAAACAGTCATCATTTTTGTTATTGTTCAATTATTAGTACTATACTCAGCATTTGAGCTCATATGAGTATCCTTAGGGGAAATGTTCTGCATGCCATTAGCACTAATCTTAATGAGGGAAAAAGTGGAACTTCTTTAGTGCTTTGCCAGAATTATTTTATCTTTAAGTCAAAGAACAGTGGCTTGGAGTAACCCCAAAAAAAGCATTTCGTAACAACCAACGCCAAACAATATTCCCAGGAATCGTATTTATGGCACTTCTATTTATAGATATATGATTATTACATTCAACCTTTGCATATCCTTGTTAGATTTTTTTTGTTAGTCACTACTGTAACTATTAAAACAATTAAATAGATTATTCAATTCTTTAACCTTTATTGTTACACCATTTTTGATAAAATCTAAATAAAATAAAACAATACAATACAATCAATTTACGATAGTTAGGATGTACAAAGTAAGATCTTTAGGTACCTTTTCTCAGCATGTCACTAAAATCCTACAATTGTTCTGATTATGTAAAATTTGAGTGCTATACCATAAAATGGGTACTGTATTATACATTTCTGAAGTACAATATCATCTTGCTGTGATTGCTGACCATTGAAAGTTCAAATACTATGCATTAAAAATTAGTGCTAAAACCGCTGAAGTCAAAACTTTTAAATGCTTATTTTCCAAAAAAAGCAACAGCTTTTGCTTGCAAACGGTACAAAATAGAAGCTTTTTAATGCTTCAGATGGCCCTCAAAATAATTTCAGCAACAACATGTATAGTTTGACTACTCAGCGCCTTGAACAATTTGAAAGAATGATTTCAAAAACTTATTTGAAATATTATATTGCTGCCTCCAGCAAAAAACATTCTAGGAAATGTAAAAGCAACAGGATAAGATGATTTTGAAATATATATCTTGAACTTTATAAAATATTGTATTTATGCCTGTTTAAGGATACTACTCTGTAAGCATGCATGGGCACTTCTATGTGTTGACTGGGCTGCCATACATATGCCACAGTACAATAACTCTTATTCTTTGCTATTATCAAGTGATCATTTGCACTAGAAAATTTTTGCAAATGACCTATTGGAGATGGAAGAAATAAAACCAAGTACTTAAAAATACTGGCTAAAGATAAGAAAATAGTGAACAACAATCCATACAGGAACCCGGAGTCAAGCCCAACTGACAGAAACTAAGTATTAAAACAGTATCATATTGCAATATTAAAACAAATGAATGCTTAAACCAAAAAATTCTATACAGTATCTCTTTTAATACTTTTTATTTAAGACTGGTCTTTTTCTCTCCACTCAAACACTGTGGAAGACTAATCTTTGGATGACACTATCTGTTCACAATGAGATCTTTATCCTTATCTACTAATATGATTCTCAATATTCTCTTTGTCTTTTCTAAACAATTAAAATGTCTGAAAGCAACCAGAGCATCATCACAAGACAAGGTCTTTCTCAGAAGAGGATCAAGGTAATAAACCTAACAATTCAGACCCTGAAGAACTAAACACACTGAAAGACCAAATGTCGGTATTTCCATTCCCAAGCACAATGCAGATCACTGACCTGAAATTAGAAATACATGCATAAAGAAAGGAAAAAGCCAGCAGCTAGCAAAGCAACAGCCACTTACAGGGAAAGGATCCTGATAACAGCTGAAACTTTGCATGGACAGATTCTAGCAAATTAAAGCTGCTTAGTTTCAGCTGCATTTAGATCATGGGTCCTCATGACCCATGAGGCCGCATGGGCCGCATGCGGCCCACTGAAGCCATTAATCCGGCCCGCGCAGAACCACGAGATTGCCCCGCCCACATTGCCCCGCCCACCCTTCAGCAGAGTGCAGGACTTGCCTTCGGGAGCCCTGTGGACTGGAACTGAAAGGTAAACCCAACAATTTTGGCCTACAGAATGCTTCTGGAGGTGGAGAGGGAGAAAGGAGCCAAAAAAATGGGCTAAAACGGCCAGTTTTGGGCCAAAAAAGGAGCAGTTTTGGCCTCGTTTTGGCCTGCAGAATGCTTCTAAGGATGGGGGTGAAAAGAGCCCAAAAAAGGGCAAAACAAAATTAAAGTTTAATTTGTGTGCATTGTTCAATGGACTGTTAAATTGGCCACGCCCACCTAGCCACATGACCTAGTCACGCCCACATAGTCACATGACCACCTAGCCATGCCCACCCAGCCCCCCAACAGTCTGAGGGATCGTGAATTGGCTCCCTGTTTAAAAAGTTTGAGGACCCCTGATTTAGATGCATAGTATTGCAAAAGATACTGGTATTTAAGACTGCCTCAAAACATAGATTCTTGGTTGGAACAACTTTAATTTTATTGAAAACTTGTCTTTCTGCTATGACTTGTTACAACTCTGATGAAAGGGACTGATTTATAATTTTATGTTCAAATATGATAATAAGCAAGCTATTCATCGAGAAGTAGCTGTAAAGGGCTCATTGGCTATGGTAGAAAACCAGAAACTATATTAGGACCTGGTACTACATGCTATTTAGCTGGATTTAGTAATAGCAAAACTACTGATTGAGTAAGAGCCCTGGTAGTACAGGGGTTTAAGGCACCCTGTTATTAAGCTGGTTATTAAGACCAGCTGCCTGCAATTACTGCAGGGTTCGAATCTCGCCAAGGCTCAAGGTTGACTCAGCCTTCCATCCTTTCTAAGGTAGGTAAATTGAGGACCCAGTTGTGGGGGCAATAAGCTGACTTTGTATAAATATACAAAAGGATGAAGGCTATTGCTGAGCACATTGTAAGCCGCCCTGAGTCTTCGGAGAAGGGCGGCATATAAATCAAATTTAAAAAAAAAAACAAGTTCCTTTCAGCAGTTACTTAGTCCCAAATGTTAAAGCTCAAACTTTATTTTTTAAATGTCAGTATATTCCTTCACAATCTCTTTCATCCTAAAATATTTTGAAGCTTCATCTTCCAAATCCTATATTTTTTTATTTGTGGCTTTTACTTTTATACCTAACTGGCCTTTCTTTCCCTAGTGATCTGTTTATTTTTTTATAAATGAAGACATAAAAATTGATCTACTTATTCCTTTTTGTTTATGGTCTTCCTTGGCTACTTCTAGACATCTGGCATGTTATTTCTCTTTTCTCCAGGTGCCCTTTCTCTCAGCAAAAGCCTCGTATCTTGTATGATGGCACAGTAATAAGTGTACACACAGAGACTTATGCAAGGCTGCAGTAATCTACAATCTATCTACAAACTTTAGAGTAGAAATCAATTATGTCCCTAAACTTCTGGAGGTTCATTCATCAATACTGACTTATTTGATACAGTTGTGATTACAATTTAGATAAAACCTTATGTTGGAGCTCAGGCTACATATGAAACCACCAAACAGTAAATGCTTCCACATTTCATGAAATGATTCTACTGATGGTTTGTGAAAAACTGCCTAAGAATGTGATCTTTTAACTCCTGCCTAAAAATCCTTGGATTTGTTGTAAGCACTCTGCTGCTTACCAAAGGAATTAAACTCCAGACTCATTTAGTTCTGGTAGTTTGGATAATTAGTATGCTTTCCCAAATTTACTTTTCTAAAAATTTCTGTGGAATGCCATTATCTTGCTCTCTGTGGAATTATTGAGACGATATAGAGGTGCTATTTCCATATTTCTGAGTCTATTCATTGTTCTAATTATACAACCATTCATCAAGTCCTACAAAAATATTTGAAGAAATACAGTACTTTGTAAGAATTCCAAGAATTAAAATAATTGCATTCTTTCTTACTGAAGCATTCAGAGTTTAATTTAGAAAAGGTACCCTTCTCCTGATGCTGAGCTTATTGAATGTTGTAGAATTTCATTATAAAGTGCTAACATTTAATAGTATCATTAAATTAGTAAAAGATAGTGAGAACCTATATATTGATAATACCTAGCCATATCATTTTCCACCAAGTATAAAAGTTGTAGTCCTGGTACTTCATTAAAATTTGACTAGATTTTTTTGAAATTGGCTAAATCCATTTCTAATCTACTGTCTTTTACAAAATTAAAAATATAAAGCAAACTTAAATAATTGCTGTGTCATTAGTAATTCTATACCAAATTGAATTGTGGGCCTGGCTTTTATTTGTGAGAAGCTGTTTCCTTTTGTAGTATTAAATAGGTGAGTACTGTTGAACCACCTTAACTACCACAATTGGGGCCAGAATCCCATGGAGTGGTCATTAAATGAGATGTCATATGACTGCCAGGACTGCTTTGCTCAACAACCACAATCCTGGCAGTCCCAGTGGCTGTCATTAAGCGGACAGTCCCAGGTAAGGATTGCAGGGGGCCTTGGGGAAGAAGCTCCCTGGGAGGCTCCACTCAGGAGCTAAAAATCCTCCCTGACAAAATTCAAGCAGGATTTTCAGCCTGAGAGAGAGGGGCACTCATGTGCAGACTGCACCAGTACTCCCATGATCTTCCCCACTCACCTGAGGCATCCCACATTCCTTACACTGTAGAATTCATTTGTTTGGCTTTTGTTCCAGTCCGTGTTGGGGGGGCGGGAGGGTGTCAAGCCCTAGGTTCCTGCAATATAGGTACCTCAGGGCTGTGTTCCTCTTTAACATCTATATAAAACCGCTGAATGAGGTACAGTATGCTGATGATGCCAGTTTCCTTTCTCTACCCAAGGTAGCATTATTTTAGTGTTGACCCAGGTCCTGTGACAGTCTGGATAAGGAGAAACTAGCTCCAACTCAAGCCTAGCCAGATGGAGTTAGGGTTTCTGATTTCTTTCCAGGTACAAGGCAAGTTCTTGCTTATTACTTTTAAAACTCTGCATGGCATGAGCCAGGTTATTTGTGGAATGGGCTCACCCTGATTCCATCTGCCCACTCTATTAGGCTAGTGTGGGGACACTCCAGGTCTCATCTCTTAAATCTGGTGGGACTCAGGAAACATCCCTTTTCCATAGCTGCCTCTCTCTTCCTGTCTGAGATCTAGCAGGCTTTCACACATTTAGTTTCCAAAAAACCATAAAGGGTTGGTTTTCTCCCCAGGCATGGAGATAGAGCCCAAGGATTTCATTATTTGTTGGACTAAAAATTATAGAACAGGTGCCTAGTTTATTATCTTTGGGGTTTTTTTTATTACTGTTGTAGTTTTTATTGTTATGAGTTACCCAGAGTTGTGATTTACAAGATGGACAGAAATATGTCTTTTAAATAATTAAATAAATATTCTGGGAATTTTTTTGCATCTCTTTGATTATATAACATAAAATAAGTAGAATTTTATAGTAAAATTCTTTATAGTAGAAATAGGTACAACAGAAATTAAGGTTTAACCCACTAATTAGCTAGCCCAGAACAACTGCAACTGATTTCTGTACAATGCAAAGTCTCTCCCTAAATCAATGTTATAAATTCCTATATCCAAATATTTTAATGGAATCGAAACAAACATTATCTCTGGGTGATAGAATCAAAATCATCATCAATATGTTGCCCAATGTAATAAAATCAAGACTGATAAAATATCCAGAATTATCCCTTTTGCAAATTTTGTTTGCTTTTTTTATTTCTCACACATACCTGGAGAAACAGCTCTATGGTACTGATGCATATCTTCTCCCATCAATTCTTGTGCTACTTGTTTTATCTTCTGTCTCACAAGATCTAATTTGACTTCAGATTCTGTTAGTATTTCTTCTACATTGGAAGCACTGTGATTACAGAATACAATCAAATTAAAAAGTGACTGCTGTTAAAACATCAGCAAAGAAGCAATGATATATGCTATACACAGGTCATTTTGTATTTTGCTTTAAAAGTTATCACATTCATCCTTTTCAAACACTATTATAAGCACTAGAACTTCAATATATATGTTGGTCACTTATATATTCAAAAAAATATTTTAAATTTTTTTCCCTCCATTCCTAACTCTTTGCTTTATGTTACTTATTACAGGATGCCTTTGTTTTTGCATATCTGAGCAAAGTGAAAGGTATGGTATATATTAAGAAATGTGAAAGGCAAACATAGATACCTGCCTGGTAATTCTATGAAGTAGGAATATGGTCCTTTTGCTTTCAATAGTTATGTCACGACTAAGTTTCACAAGTCTTTCATATTTATCATGTCTTGTATCAAGTTCCAGTTGAAACACTGAAAATGAATATCAATAAATATGAAACAATATTAGAAATACAGATATGAACATGTAAACTCTACAAAATATACAGCTGTCCAAAAACAGATTTCACATGTTCTGAGAAACCCATAAAGCTACTATAATACATTTTAACCTTTGTTTAAATACAGCTTAACTGTTTAGAATGTTAATAGTTTGCTAAATAGTTTAATAAACTTCATTCTTTCTGCAAAAATTCTGACCTAAACCTTTAAAGAATTGTATCAAATTCACACAAATCAAAGAAAGAAGTAGTGCAATTCTCCATTTTTATGGAAGTAATCACTTATAATATGAAGCAATCAATACACAGAAACCATCTGGAACCATGTCTTCAAACACCGTACTGTTATAGAAATGATGCAGAATGGGTTCTATCATAGCTTAAGAGGAATTGCATGGAGAAATCAGATATATCATCATTTCTTATATATACGTAAATGAGCCACAATTAAGGCATCTAAAATTACTTACTCTTGAAGGATGTCATTATGGATGAAGAAAAATTGATGCTATCTTTCTCTTCCCTCCTATGACCATGTGGAAAACTGTCATGTTTCCTTTTTCTGAAGCCACCTGTTTGTGTAAGATTGAAAAAAGTATTAGTTCTCAAAAAATGTTCACAACTTTTCATAGCCGAAATGCCCATATCATAGGCATTTGGGAAACTAGAAAACTGTCCACAATTCCATTCACCATTTTGTACTGAATACTGGATTCAGCCTACTGATCAGGAAACTTTGATTTCATGGTATTTTTAAGATGAGAACTAACTGCCAAACAAGGCGATGGCACTTCATATATAACATATATAGCTTATCATTCAAAAGAATGAGGAAACATAGTCAGCTGATTTTGGTTGTTTCAAAAGGTCAGCTAACTGTTTTAAAATTTATTACATTCAATTGACTGAATCAGCATAAAAGTAATGTAATATTAATTGCATTTCATGTTTTCCTACTTTCATGGACAATGTGTGTTTCTCTCCAGATAATACTTCTACATGTTCTAAGCGAAATGACCATTAAAACAGAATTATTAAAATCTGCATTCTGGGGAAGTACACATTGCCCTATGCTTTATGTGTAAATAAAAAGCTACAAAAACAATGCTATGCTCTGACATGTGAACTCCCGGACCGTACATATAAATAGAATATTTCAGATGGTGGATTTCTGCCTCTTCCAAGACATGATGTGCTTCATCATACTTGTTACAGGCACAAGAGCTTCCTGCCAAAAAGCAACCTTTGGAAATTTTGTTGTGTTCATTTTAAGGTCAACAAGCTTTTTTTCCCCCTTGTTACTGATGCCTAGACTCTGTCTGGGGATTAAATACAAGGAACAGAAATTAGGAATAGGATTAAAGAAGGCAAGAAAATGCAGCAAAGTTAAACTGAAAGACAAAGAGGGCAAATATAAAAAATGGAAAGTGAGACACATAACCAAGGCAGAATACCAGCATATAGGATAGGTAATCAAACAATAGAGCTGCAAACACCCAGAGGAAAGCAAATCTATTATTAGAAGCCAACATGGGTTTATCAAAAACAGATTGTGCCAAACAAAACTTATTGCAATTTTTGACAAGGTGGCTTAATTAGTGGACCAGCAAAATGCTGTGAACATATACTTAAACTCCAGTAAAGCATATGACAAAGTAGACCACAACCTACTTCTTGATAAGATAAGAAATGTCGGATAGATAGCATCACCATCAGATGGATCCATAACTGGCTGGCAAACTGCACTCAACATGTATCCCATAATGAAACTACATATACATGGAGGGAATATGCAGTGAGGTATACCAAGGTTCTTCTTAGACCCAGTACTCTTCAACATAATAGAATAACAGAGCTGGAAGAAACCTTGGAGGTCCTTCTAGTCCAACCTCTGCTCAAGCTCTATTTCAGACAAATGGTTGTCCAATCTCTTCTTAAAAACTTCCAGTGTTGGAGCACCCACAACGTCTGGAGTAAGTTGTTCCACTGATTGTTGTAACTGTCAGGAAATTTTTCTTTAGTTCTACATAGATTAGTAGAGAGACTAATCTATACTTGATTAGTTTCTACCCATTGCTTCTTGTCCTGCCCTCAGGTGCTTTGGAGAATCTCTTCTTTATGGCAGCCCCTTAGATATTAGAACACTGCTACTATCATATCGTCTTCATGAATGAATTAGATGAGAGGATAGAAGGAGGACTCATGAAATTTGCAGATGACACCAAGCTACAGGGAATAGCCAACACTTTAGAAGATAGGCTCAAAAGATCCAGAAAGACAGACTTGAATATTTGGCTCTATTCAACAAAATGCAATTCAGTGGGAAGAAAAGTAAGTTTTACACTTACCAATAAGCAAGGAAAAACAAATACACAGCTATAGAATAGGTGCTACTAAGCTCAACAACAGTAACTGCAAGAGGGATTTAGGAGTCCTAGTGGACAACCACTTAAATAGGAGCCAGCAGTGTGCTTAGCTGGCAAAAAGGGCAATGCAGTCTTAGGCTGCATCAACAAAGTAATAGCATCAAGATCATGTGAAGTCTTAATATCGCCATATACTGCCTTGTAAGACCACACTTGGAATACTGTGTCCAGTTCTGATCACCACGATACAAAAAAGATGTTGAGACTTTGAAAAGAGTACAGAGAAGAGCAACAAAGGTAAAGGGTCTGGAGGCTAAAATGAATGATTGCAGGAAGTGGGTATGTATAATCTAACAAAGAGAAGGATCAGGGGTGACAATGATAACAGTTTTCCAATATCTGAGGAACTGTCATAAACAAGAGGGGGACAACCTATTCTCCGAAGTATCTGAGGGCAGGACAAGAAGCAACGGATGGAAACTTATCAAAGATCCAACCTAGAACGAAAGAGAAGCTTCCTGACAGTGATAACAATCGGTGGAACAACTTGCCTCCAGAAATTGTGGGTGGCCCAATACTGGAGGTTTTTAATATTTAAGAAGATACTGTACAGTCATTTATTCTTAATGGTATAGGGTCTCCTGCTTGAGCTGGGGGTTGGACAAGAAGACCTCCCTTCCAACTCTGTTATTCTATTACAGGTGGTCCTTGATTTACAACAGTTCATTTAGTGACCGTTCAAAGTTACAACGGCACTGAAAAAGTGACTTATGACCGTTTTTTGCAGTTACGACATTTGAAGCATCCCTATGATCATGTGATCAAACTTCAGATGCTTGGCAACTGGTTCATGTTTACGACCGTCGCTGTGTCCCAAGGTCACGTGATCACCTTTTCCCCCAACATTCTGGCATGCAAAGTCAACGAGGAAGTCAGGTTCACTTAACAAAGTTAAGGTTGCCAGGTTACTAAATTATCGATTGCAGTGATTCACTTAACCACTGCTGCAGGGAAGGTCGTAAAATGGGGCAAAAATCACTTCGCAGACGTCTCACTTAGCAACAGAAATGGCGGGCTCAACTGTGGTCGTAAATCGAGGACTACCCGTATTTGAAACGCAGAGCCCAGGGTTTAAATAAAGGGCCTGGGAAAGGCAGCCAGGTGAGGAAAGGCAGCCACTGGCCTTCCCCGCGCCCCTTGCATTTTGCTCCTCGGAAGAGGGGCTCTCCCCTCCCCTTGTCCCACGCCACCTTCTTTGCTGCTCATCTTGTCCGCGCTCTGATCCCGATCCGCGTCTGTCAGACTCGACCTCGGCGACCGGCACGCGCACCCAACGGCTGTCGGCGCGCGCTCAACGGCGATTCGGCGATAGTCCCTCGCTCCAATTCGGTCTCCGCACTTCTCAGGACCTCAATCATCCGCCTTCCCATCGCTCTCGGGGTGTCTAATCCGATCCCTGATAGCAACCTTTAATTTTGTTAAATCGAGCCACGCTGGGATTAACATCTCCACTCCGCCAAGGCAGAAAAGGAGCTAGGCTTCTTGTCAGCCCGTACTGAAGTATTTTGCCAGGCAGAGGAATTCATTCATTTCCCTAATCAGGCATTAGTGTGTGAGGTATATCCGGTTTGCTATGGGGGCTTTTTAAAGACTTTATAATCGAGCAAGACCTTCTGGGAAACGTAGTTTTTTTTCTTAGGATGGAGCGTGTACAGCAGAGTGACTATAAAAACTTCGGGATTGGATTAGCGGGGATGAGAGCTGGAATCAGAATCGGAGCCTGAAATACTTACAGATTTGAGATATGCCGATTATGACAGTTTGTTAATCAAAGTTAAAAGGAGGTTTTCGTTGTGGAAAATAAAACGGAAAGTGAAAGACCTAGATGGTTAAAAATTTAGATTTCTTGGTTTCTAGATTAATGTTAAATATTTAGAAAGTTGATTTCTTATAATGTACACTATGGAAACTAAACACTGAGGTACAAGAGAAAGAAAATAGTAAATAGGCAGTCATAGATATGGTTCTCTAAACTGAAAATCAGTCATGTCAGTCAGTCGTGGACCAAGGAACTCTTATCCATGTTTAATAAAGGGACTGTTACACACATGCATTCATGTGCTTTCATCCGGCCCCAACCTGTTCTGTTTCCAGGGTTGCAAGGAAAGCTTCAGAAGTGGCTCATTCAGAAACAGATGCTGCACTTGCAATCCTGCACATTCCAAAAGCCTTTTTCCCCAAGTTAATTTTAAGCTTTGCCCAGCCCTATTGCGGCAATAAGGGGAAAGCTCAAACGATCAACACACTACCATGTTATCCTTTCAGACACCATGCACAGTTGCAATTAGAAACTCAATTGGTGTATGTAACTAGAAACCTCCACTTTTGGATGTTCAAATAGCAAGTTACCAACAGAAGTCAACCACTGAATTTAAGTTATGTCAGTTTTTGTTCTATATTCAAGGCAGACAGCAGTACCAATTGATGGCAGTCAGAATGCCATTAAGCCTTAAGAGTGTTTGCTTCCAGGTTGTCTGTCTGACTGTTTGTCTGTCTAGCTAGCTATCATATTTAAGAACTGCCCATCTTCTTTGCAGAGGGATTCTGGATGGTATACAGTAAAATGTGTAATGCAAGCATAATCAAAACATTTTGTCACAGAAATATAAAACAAATATACAATGACAGTTCAATGAATAGGGTGGCCAGATATCTGGAATTTTGCCAAATCATCTGGATTTAAAAAACTTTGCATTCTATTCACTCTTTTGTCCACCTTTTTTGCCTGCTCTAACCTTGATCTACTTTGCTGACAGCTTATGTGATGGGCATTGGAGCAAGGCTATCATACCTGGGTTACAAACATCTGGATGGCCATTAGAGAGTAACAGATTTTTGAAATCTCTTTACTGTCATTAATGATTATCACAATTTCTGCAGTCCAGATGTTATAGTCCTAATTTGAAGGCAGTAAAAATTCACACAGCTGCATGACTGAATTAACTAGCCTCCAAGGAGTCTGCATGTTAGTGATTCAGAATGGTCTGGGTAGGAAGGAAGTGTACAAAGCAAAACAAATAGTTGGACCCTGAGACAAGCTGCCAAACCTTTTTTCATTCCCTTTTTGGCTGGCAGTGCAATTAAAAAGTTTGCTGCCAGTATACTGGATATTGGCATTACCCAACACTCAAAAAGCCAAAAACACCATGTATGTATGTATAAAAGAGAGAGAGCAGTGGGGGAAAGGAACAAAAGTTATATTTGGGGAAAAAAGATTTGTGAGGGGGGGAAAACAAATAAAGTGGCTTATGTCAGATAAAAGAAAATGGGCAGTTTAGAAATAGGAAATAAATAAACAAAAAGTATGCTGCTTAGACTAAATGTAAAAGAAGTGCAAAGTATTATTTGTTCCAGCAAACCAAGGGAAGTTACTATTAGATCTAGCAATTGTTTGACCACTGATCCAAGTGCCAAAACAAACAACATTATTTAATTAAGAAAGGACACATATTGGTAACCAAGAGTAAAAATGTGAACATCATTCATTCCACATCCTGTGATAGTGCCATTAGCAACAAGACAATAAAGGACTGTTCTTCACTGATATATTTTATCTAAAAAGAATATACTGAACACTCCAAAGTACAGCGATGCTGTCCTAATTTTTTAAATCCTCTATGACAACCCAGGATGATAAAATCATTCTTGCTGAACTTTGCAAGGTTTAGCCTGTTGAGTAAATTTTGGGAGTATGTAACTATCGTTTATTATAATTTTTCATATGGGAGGTGCATCAAGTTGCAAAAAAAATCATTATTGTTCATTCTTTGGATTACTGTCTTCCTTTTTCTAGATCTATCTCAGGTTATTTTGTCTACTCTGTTAACAAAGTATTGTTTCCAAACTAGTATTTTTTGCTGTTGATTTGTGAAATGGACAACACAGAGTCATGGTTTCCTTAACCAAGGTTCATTGAATAATATACAACTGGCAGGTAATGCATAACATACTGTACTGTAAACAAGCTATGAACATGGCTTTACAAATTACCCTGGCTGCATCGATAACAATGGGTTAAATTAAAACTTCATAAACCATATTCAACCATGAATGAAGGCAAATATACATAAACCCAGAATAATATTGCAGGATCCAATCTGGATCAGTCACCAGGACCAGAGGTTTTGTCTTCCGATTGGATCCTGCATATTCAACCATATTAAAATGTACTTATGAATAAGTAATACCCATATTTCTTAAAAGGAAAACAGCTTTTCCAGTTTTGTTTATAAACGAATATATATGTAGAGTAAAACTTTGTATGTTTTACACACATGCATATACATATATACATACATATATACATATACATACATACATACATACATACATACATACATACATACATACTACAACAAATTCTTATTAACATCAACCCATATCATCACTAGATGAGGGCCTCTTTGTTGAAGGTTTTGGATGGATTAATGGACGGATGGACAGTCAGACATATCTCTCTAGATATAATATTAGATTGAGCAAACTCTGAATAAAGGATAAAGCCCATTATTTCCAAAGTAGTATAGATAACTGACATAATTTATATGTTACAAAGTTACATCAATTGTATTAAACAGACATACAACTCTAGTGGATAATCCTTCTCCCTGGTTAATCTGTAAAATTGAGGTTTTACTGTTGTGCATAATTTGGTTTGCTTAGGAAATGCTAAGGGTATAAAATGAAAATGAGGTTATTGACAAAGATGATACATTTATTGATTTGATTTAAACTATTTTTAATTTGTGTGACAATTAGAGCTTATTACAGATTGTTGAAGGATAAGAATTATGTAACTTCATTTTTGCCTGCTTAAAAGAAGCAGGCAGGCAGAAGATAACGCTGAAATCAAAAGAAACCCTCAGCAAAATGAAAGAAGCTAAATATTCTGGATTTTCTCTTTGTGTCAAAAATATCAAATTCATTGATTTTCCTGAGAAATTAAAACAGAACATGGAGAAAGAACAAAGGACAGATGTATAGGGCCAGAAATAAAATCTTCCCAAATAATATCTATAACCTGACTCTCTACTTCTCTTGCTTGTTTTCCCTAGCTAGAACAAATATAACACATAGGATTACTCTTTTAGCTGCAACTGGAAAACGCTGTACCTGGTTTAAACTTAGACAAAAATGTAGTTCAGATAGAAATCATAAAGTATTTTTGCTATTTTTGGCTTAGGGAGATATGTGAACCCATCCATTAAAGACAAGTGAGATGTGAATGTCAGTTTATTCAAATAATTATGTTTTTTTAAAATTCCAGTTTAGGTTGATAAATTTCACATTGGTCTTTTCCCTCAAATCTAATGATCCAAACTTTTTTGAATAAACTAATCGATATTCTTTCACGTTTCAATAGCCCTATTCATGGTAAAATAAAGCACTCGCTTCAGGTTGTGTTTCCCTGCTGTCATAGGTGAAGGGATTTCTGGGAAGAAACCAGTGAAGCAATCGATCGTCCACCAGATGGTGGGTCTTCCTGGGCCTCCTTTGACAATAGCTACATGATATGGTCTGAGCAGCTTGGTGTGTGACTTGATATAATTTCTGAACTACTCCTGAAAAATATAGCAGTGTGATTCCTGAATGTGAAATTCTGCAGGAATTCATAATTGCATTTCTTTTAGATCTAATTCTGTCATGGTCAGTAGCAAACAAAATATGCTTATTTTGTAGAAAAAATTGTACATACTTCAAACAACATTTTTGTTTATATTTCACATTTCTAAATCATGGACCGTCCTTCCTCCACATATAGTGGATTTCTCCTAAAGTTCCTAATACTAATGCCATTATTGTAAAGAAGTGGAAAGTGCATAAAAATACATTTTTGTTATCTATTCGAAAATAAAACCTTATTCGCAGAAGTTAAAATATATTCTAATTGCAATTACAAGGCAGACAAATGTAGATGTTTTCTTTATGACTGCCATCTTCATGCAAAAAGCGCACGTCAAATATTCTATCTGTTGTTCACGGCATAAGAACAAAGGAACTCTTTGTCAAAAACAAAATGTAACAAGCATCATGTGGGTTATAAAGCTGTGCTTTTATTATTGAATTATTTCATATCTCAACATCCAGCTTTGTAGGAGGCACATATTGTTAAGAGAGCAGTAAAGTCATAGTGCATATATGACTGTTCTTTAGAATTTACACGATACATTAAAAAATGCTGTAAGAAGAAATGGATGGACATAAACAGGTTAATTATTAAACAAATTTATGCAAAAAATGCAAGAATTGGCATTCCACTGTGGTTTTCACAAGGTCCGCTCTCATGTTTCTACGCTGAGTCATGGTGATGTAACTATGTTAAGTAAACATCACAATGCAAAGTAAGGTCATGGTGAGATTGTGCCTTTCTTTGGAGACGGGGAGGGAAAGAACAGTGCTGAACAGATTTCTACTAAGCATTTGTAAATGTAATATGCTATGATGCAGTTTCCAATAATTTGTTTTTAAAACAATTTTAGAATTTTTGTTTGCCAATAATATCCAGAGTCAGAAATATTCTAAA